ATTTCTTCTGCATTAATGATTCCATCTCCACACCCCTCAGCTGCTACTCTGTTCGCATTTACTGCTCGACTGTGAATTTCATTCGGAAATTTCAGCTTCCTAGCATCCGCAGCTTCTGCATATTCCAGTGTTTGGTTAGACAAACAGACAAGCACACCCACAGAAAGAGGCTGTTGCGCCAGCGATGGAAAAATGCATAAAACTACAGAAGCGTGATCTAAGTGGGCAAAAAGCGACAAAATTTACTCAAAAAAAAAGAGCACACTTGGGCCTAAAGATAGATCATCCAGAATTGCTAATTTAGCGACCAACCAAGTAACTGCCATAACAGTAGAAGAAAATGCAGTGCAGAGGAAGGGCGCGGTCTTGACCTGGAACACTAAGGGGTAGGAAGCATCTGAACAAGAACTCTCTTTGTCTCATCTGCGGTAAAGTACATCACCATGCTTAATGCATAACACAGCTACGGCATTAGCATCGTTACCAGCTTCAGTAGACGAGCATCAACAAATTTTACATGCACATCTGGACAGAGGTCGAGTTCTGAATAAATTGATGATATCATGGTAATTAGCATAAGATTCATATGACACTGGTTTTAATACTAGGCTGCCAGAGAAAGGCTAGTAAGGATCCATGTAAATGGCTGCGCCGGGTCACGTGGATGTGGTAAACTGAGAACAGCGAAGAGCGAAGAAGTTGCCATCCGCTCTATCGATGGCGGGGAGGAATGCGATCTGTAGCAACAGGTCAACGAATTATTGAAATAGTAATAACCACGTTTGATTTCTTCATTTGCAGTGCAGCGAGCACTTTGCTGTCCGAGATTGGGGCCTGTCCACGTGTTGCCAAGGCAGCAAGATGGAGTGCTGTCATTCCGTTGCAATCCCGCGTGTCCAGCGGCACACCTAGCGAAATAAGCTGCTGCAAAGTTAAGCCACGTTAGCCTATTTTAGGCTTTTAAGGAAAACATTCATTCCCTACAATAAATGCCTTAAGGAGTTTCATTGCAGAAAAAATTAAAATTTTTCTATGCATGTTAAAATTAGCACTTGACATGTTTTTCAGATCTGCTGGAGAGGTCTAATGACATGATTTGATAGTAGCGCACGGGAACTTCGCTTTATTTCTAGCCTGCGACGCAATAGTGAGCGTGCAGTGGCGAAACGCAAAAATGGTTTAGAATGCAGAAATTAGCCAAAAAAGCACAACATTTTGGTAGAATTGAGAAAAATCCAGAAGGAAAACATACTGAAGTTAAGAAGGATGAAAGACGGCGGCAAGCCACTTCAAAAAAGAAAGGCTAGAAAGGCTAGAATCAAGCACATTCCAAATTGTTGAACTTCTAATGGATACCGCGACATCATTTTACTTTTGTATTGTATGGCATTAGATTAGATTCGCTTTTTCCTAGGGTAGTCAGCTTTGAGCATTTTCGTGAAAAATTTTTTTAACCCAAAAATATTCCATTTTTTTTCTTCCGATGTGCTGCAACTTTTCTTCCTCCCTTTTCCCATCTTTTAGCTTTCTCCTTTTCCACTTACTTTTTTGTTTCATATATAATTTTTTTGGTCATGAACTCTCTAATATTTCCCGGATTATCACCTGAATACAACAAAGTCGCTGCATATCCTGATCAGCATTATTATTCCAACGCTCCACAGCAAAATGCAATGCTGTTCGATTGGCCCTCGTGGTTTTTGTCACGTCAGGAAAATACTGCAAAGTAATAAGTAAAAATACGAGCCTGGCAATGCAAAAGTTAGTTTATTGGAAAACTGGTCTCGTTATGGGCGTATAACCATTTATCAGGCAAAGCCATAATTAAACCTGGCTATTTGTATCCACCTTTTCCGCCACTTTTCTCATGAAGTGTCCAACTGATAGCCTTATTTGCTGCAGGAAGCCTTCACAGTACGTTCATAAAGTCTTTAATAATAAAAAAAATTGATAGCGGTTCATAAAGCTATCGCTCGTGGGATGTGATAAAGATTTGTGCAGCTGGTAGTAAAAAAGATTATCAAATGCAGTCTGC